ATTTTATACTACATTTATCCATTTAAAATATACTAACCTCACTCCTTTGTAACAACTAAGACAAAAATGTAATTAATTCATAAAATCTTTTCAGGACCCCATATTGATGTTTCGGGACCCCACTTTGGGTCCCGACCCCAACTTTGGGAAACACTGACCTAAACTGTCACTTCTACATTTAGAAATAAGATGCCATCAGCCCACAAGAAATTGGTGCCAATCCTAACTTGAAGGATTTGCTTCATTTTTATTTAATTTTTTTAAAATTTTCTTCTCATCTGAAGGAGACTTTAAACATTATAAAGTTGAGATATTGTTTAAGAACTCAAGAGTTTGGAGTCAAAGCCGATCAGGAGCCTGTTCTGTCTTCTCCAGGCTCATTGACTCTGAAAATGACTTCAGGGTGCAGTTTTGTTAGCGTGACTGAACATGGTGCAGAGAGTCATGCCCGCACTTCAACACAGCATGCTTGATCAGCCTCGACAGAGCACCTTTCTTCCACACATCAATATCCTGTTAATATTTCTCCAACTCAAGAATCCAGTTTTCTTGTTGCTACATGTAAACATAATATCCTGTTGACTATAAATGTGATTATATCTCACTGCACATCGAGAAGGAAATCTAAATGAGACAGCTTGGGTGCCACAATATTACATTTGGGTTTATGACGTTTGTGCCTTATCTTGTTGTTGAATGTGTTTGGATATAACAGAATAGTTAGATCCAAGTTATTCTGTTCATAACCCTTGAAATGTTTGGAATTAAAATAAATAAATCTCTGTATATCAATTAGGATATATAATATATTCTTGCATCAATATGACCTAAACTAACGGTTACCAACCTATTTCCCAAAAAAGCGAGAGTGGTAGGCCTAGTCATTAATAAGACCTGTGAGTTTCACTTTGTCTGTGTTGTTCATGAAGAAGAATCCAATAAAGGTTCTTCAAAACTGTCACCTGGTGGTGAAGTCTTGAACTACAACATGAGCTTCATCTCTCTCTCTGTAGCTGTGAGGTGTCATGCTACAATATTGTGCTTGACACATGTGCACTGTTATAAAGAACTTGTAAGATTTACTTGAAAAAATCCACTACTGTTTGTTAAGTAAATTTAAATGCTACAAATTCATGTAATATTTACTCATCATTATCTAGTAAAAGTTATTAAGAATATAGTTAAAGATTTACTTAATTTGATCAAGTATACACTCACCGGCCACTTTATTAGGTACATCACGCTAGTAACGGGTTGGAACCCCTTTTGCCTTCAGAACTGCCTCAATTCTTCGTGGCATAGATTCAACAAGGTGCTGGAAGCATTCCTCAGAGATTTTGGTCCATATTGACATGATGG